ATTTGTACCACTATAATAAAATATCTGAGACTGGATAATTTATAAATTATAAAAATTTATTTCTCACATTCTGAAGGCTAGGAAGTCTGAGATCAAAGCATCAGCAGGTTTGATGTCCTATGAAGGCTGAGTCTCTGTTTCCAAGATGGCACCTTGTACACTGTGTCCTCACATGGTGGAACAAACTGGAGAGCAAAAAGGGGCATACCTAATTCTCTCCTCATGGACTAATCACCACCTAAAGGACCCATCTCTTAATACTATCCTAATGGTGATTAAGTTTTACAACATGAATTTGGGGGGACATTCAGACCATAGCAGTTCTTATCTGATTAAATCCTCACTACAATGCAAGGTAGCTATTATTATTACCATTCTACAATGAAGACTCAATGCTTCAGTTTAAATTAATTGCCTAAGCTAAAACAGTTGTTGAACTGTTTTCTACTGTACACACCATTTCTGATGAACATGATTCACAAGTGTGGGTATGAATTCAAATGTAGTACTGCTACACCAAAGGTATTACATATTAACTCTTAAATATTCTTAGGAATTTTATAAGAATAGGTGATTAGCAAAGGCCAATTTACTTTTTATTTTTTCCCTGAATCATTTATCATACTTATAGGATCTGTCACTAGAATCAGTTCATTATTTTAGAGAAATTGATTCCACTATGAAAGGCATTTTTATCAACAGCAACCTACATCATGTATAATATTTACTTTATATTATGTTTAATTTAGAATAAAGTAAAAACTTATTTCCCAATGAACTTCTCATTTTCCAAATAAAGTTTTATATTTTTGTAATTTACTGAGATATTACCATGGAAATGNTTAGAACTTACATGGAGACTAAATATTCATGATGCATTTTTTAGAACTTTGTCAGGGAAAACACAGGAATGTCAAGTTCCAAGTTGAAGAATAGCATTATGTGGAATATCTATGACAGAGAAAGATTCCTGATGTATAGTATTATTTAGTTAATAAATTATGACAGATTACTAAAAGTGTTTAATACAAGTGGTCCAAAATTACACAACGTACTCATATATTTATATATTGGGCAAAATAATGGGAAAGAGACAGGAATTGCATTCCTTACACCTGAATCATTTGTTTTTTTGTTTTGTTTTGTTTTGTTTTCCTCATAATCTTTATTTTGAAACATAGCTTAGGGGCTCTCAATAATGAATAATTATTATCAGCTGTTGCTTTTAATGTGATATTGAGGTAAGCACAGGAAGGAATAAATATTTAATTGGTCATTTTGTATATTTTGTTTTCATAAGCCTGCCTATTTTTAGATGTTCCTAGTGTCATTTTTTTGTAGATCTTCCCCCCTACCCAGGAACAATGTCAAAACATTGGGTAGAATATACACATCAACATTTAGAACATGCCACATATGGGAAATTAAATTGGACATGTTTTAGTCCTGATCGTCCATTTGTACCACTATAATAAAATATCTGATACTGGATAATTTATAAATTATAAAAATTTATTTCTCACATTCTGAAGGCTAGGAAGTCTGAGATCAAGGCATCAGCAGGTTTGATGTCCTATGAAGGCTGAGTCTCTGTTTCCAAGATGGCACCTTGTACACTGTGTCCTCACATGGTGGAACAAACTGGAGGGCAAAAAGGGGCATACCTAATTCTCTCCTCATGGACTAATCACCACCTAAAGGACCCATCTCTTAATAGTATCCTAATGGTGATTAAGTTTTACAACATGAATTTGGGGGGACATTCAGACCATAGCAGTTCTTATCTGATTAAATCCTCACTACAATGCAAGGTAGCTATTATTATTACCATTCTACAATGAAGACTCAATGCTTCAGTTTAAATTAATTGCCTAAGCTAAAACAGTTGTTGAACTGTTTTCTACTGTACACACCGTTTCTGATGAACATGATTCACAAGTGTGGGTATGAATTCAAATGTAGTACTGCTACACCAAAGGTATTACATATTAACTCTTAAATATTCTTAGGAATTTTATAAGAATAGGTGATTAGCAAAGGCCAATTTACTTTTTATTTTTTCCCTGAATCATTTATCATACTTATAGGATCTGTCACTAGAATCAGTTCATTATTTTAGAGAAATTGATTCCACTATGAAAGGCATTTTTATCAACAGCAACCTACATCATGTATAATATTTACTTTATATTATGTTTAATTTAGAATAAAGTAAAAACTTATTTCCCAATGAACTTCTCATTTTCCAAATAAAGTTTTATATTTTTGTAATTTACTGAGATATTACCATGGAAATGGTGATGTTAAATAATACTTCTGTATCTGTAAAAGTGTAGTGGGAATCATGATTTCATAAGAAGAAAATTAATTATGTCAGTAAGATTATTACATAATTTCCCACAGGATCTCTATATCAGGATTCATTTTCTCATATCCTAGAACAAATTGCCTATATTCACTTTAGATATAAAGTAATGCTGAGTACCACAACATTATAAGGCAGCTCACAGTATGAGCAAAGACATCTGTTAATGGTACCATGAATAGTTATGAACTGTGGTGCTCAAAATAATTTTGCTAGCAAAACATTGCTTTCCAATTTACTTTTACAGCAAACAGAAACCTCATTTTTCATGGTTTTGTAGTTGCATTCAAATGTACCAATAATTTTAAATGTAATCACTTCTATTCGGCAAATTTCATTGTAGAACATAAGATAGAATTACTAACATTCTGTTGAGGCATAGACAGCTTCTCCATCAGCAGTTTTGTCTTAATCTTTTCTTCCTGTTTTTAAATTAAGTTTTGAATACTACTTGTTTACTTTTAGTATAATTTAGGAAGTCGTATTGTAAGTGAAATTTTAATATGATTAGAAAAATTATAAGTGTTCTCTCAGACTTCTGGAATTATCTAACTTATTTTCCCATATTTTTTGAGGTTGAAAAGATTTTTATATGAGAAAATTTAATTTTAATCTATTAAATATTTTTATTTTTATTCATTTTATTTTATTTTCTATTTTTTAATTCTTTAAAGGAATTTTTTAAACTGAAACATCGATTGTACACATTTATGGGGTACAGAGTTATATTTCAATACATGTACACAACGTGTAATGCTCAAATCAAGGGAATTAGCATATTCACCATCACAAAACTTTATAATTTCTTT